TTCTTCTAGACTGCACTTAGGCTTTTTGTGCTCTGATTATGTTTATCACACTTAGTCTCGCACTAGTGGGTTACTTTAACTAGCTTATTTAGTAGTTTGGTTTTTATTTATTCGTAATTGTTTTTATTATTTTGCTTCCGCACTGTGCACATGACTACGTCACCCTCACGTGACAGCCAGCACGCCTTGATTTCAGTCGGGGTGTGTCAATTGTACTCATTAAAATAGAATACCTCAATTTAAGGGGTTTTTTTTTTTGTGTTAGATTACATATTGATTATAATCTCTTCATGTGTCCTTACTTCAAAATAATTAATGTGCATTTTATTTAATGTCTCCCATTAAATATTTAAATTTATTAATATACAAATTTAATTTATTTTTTGACCAAAAAAGAGTTTTTGAATTTATTAATTTTGTTTAACATTCTTCAAACTTGAAAGACACATTATGTTAGTACCGAAATGTATTATATTGAACTAACGTATTTAAATGTTAGTACCAAAATGTATTATATTAAATTAATGTACCTAAATGTGTGTACCGAAATGTATATAGCGAAATGTTAGTACTGAAATATATTATACTAAATTAATGTACCTAAATATTTGTATCGAAATGTATGTACTGAAATGTGTGTACATAAATATATGCACCGAAATATATTATAATAAATTTAACGTACCTAAATGAAGAAGAAAAAGTACATCGAAATATATTGTATAACAAAAATTAGTTTATCTAAATGTTTACAACAAAATATATTACGATAAATGAAATGAAAATGAAAATAAAATAAAATTAATACATTAAAAATTAGGAAGAAAAAGAGAAATAATTAAAAAAAAATCAAAATATAATTAATAAATGAGGTTATTAATGTATCAAGAGACAAAAATTAGATTTTGATCTTACTCATAATTTTATTCTAAAAGTCATTTTTACCAAGAATTAAACAGAAGTTTTACACTCAATTTAATTAACAACGAATTTGGCTAAAAAGCCAAACCCGAATGATCTCAAAGTCGAAGTAGAGATAAACGTTCAATGGCGCTAATCATGACCTTGAATTTGTTCCTCGTTTTCAAAATTTAACAACTACGGTGGCACCTCCAAGAAGGCAGTATGAAAACCTTAGAAGGGGAACTTGGCTTTAAATAAAAATAGATGAACTTGAACGTTATTAGGGTTATGGAATTATGTAAATATTAAAAAATGAACTGTTATTAGCACTCCATAAATCTCATTCTACATCCATATTTTTCTTTCTAATTATGGAAAATTTGGAGTGTAAAATGAGATTTTTTTAGTGCCAGTAATAATTCTCATTAAAAAATTATTCATTAGAAATATTCCACTTCCTAGTTAAGTGTTGGGAAATTATGATAAATTTAGAGTGAAATAACATTCTTCAAAGAAGCACGTAGACTAGGTTGAGGAGCAGATATTTCAATCTCTTTCAGAAATTTCAAGCCCATTGTAATTTAACAAAATTTACGAACTGATGCAAAAGTATATCCCTTGATATTTCCTTCCATGATACTGACAAAACTTATCTGCACGAAAGGAATCTGGAGAAAAATGGAAAAGATGATGGAGAGTACACTTCTTTGATTGGAAGCCATGAACTGGAATCTGGTGGATGTCCTGTTGTCAAAGTTAGGCAAAATTTGCCAAATGTTGGCATGCATGTTTTTTTCTTTCTATAAAGCGTATTATAGTTTGGTTATTATAGAAGGGGGTACACAGACTAAGGATTTTAGAACTCATTTGAGTGTGTTTTTAAAATGATTGAAAACGTTTTTGGTGTAAATATTTTTTGAAACAACCTTTAGTAAAAATGTTAATAAATCCTGGAAAAGCACTTAAAATGTTTATGGGAAGAAGCACATAATTGATACTTCTTGTAGAAAGCACTTAAAGTGCTTTTGGAACATAAAAACATTTTCTCTAAAAGCTACTTTCAATCATTTTAAAAGCACAACCATACAAGCCCTTAGTCATAATCAGTGGCGAAGCCACATGGGAGCGAGGAGTAGCGGCCGCCACTCCCCTCACCGGAAAACACCACTGGAGAGTTGGGTTTAGCCCCTCCCCTTGTTAGAAAACCGACTGGTGCAAGCTTGTAGCCCCTTTGTTTCCGGTGTTCTGTTTCTATTATGCACAGCAGCAGTAGATTTGGGTTTTTATTTTTTTAAAACGTCCAAGCCAAAATGACGTCGTTTTGGTCCTAGTAAAAAAAAACAAAATTTAAACTAAAACGACGCCATTTTTTATGTTTGAAAGGAAAAATATATATATATATATGGGGGACCGCGCGTCCCCTTCCCTCAGTCCATTCAGCCCCGTGTCCTCCTTTATTGTTTCAGCCTCTCCCATTCGCCAATGAGAGACAGAGAGAGGGCAACTTTGCCCCCAAAATCCCAGTAACCAACACCCAACGAAACGGAAAATTTAGGAAGGTTGATTCCCGTTGGCTTTTTGCAGCCATCACAGCCACTCTTCAGCCACTGAAGTTTGAGCCGCCGGCTTCCAACCTTCAATCAAGGGTAAATTTTTTATTTCCTAAATTTATAATCCCCTAACACTAATTAATTATTTAATACGAATTTCGTTTAATTGGTATAGAATCATATGGTAATGCACTAACAGGCTTATTGATATGATTCTATGATTATTGATATGAAATTATGAAATTATTTTTTAAGGTGAAAAAAATTTGAATTCTTGATTATTAGTTGAATTGATTAGTTGTATTCATATGATTAGTTGAATTGAATTTTTATTTATCGAATAATTTATATGCTTATTGGTATTGATTAATTGAATTATGGTTGGATTAGTTGTTATGCATACTATAGTATAATCTAATCTAGGATTAAGAGTCTAAGATTTTTTTTTTTTCTTTCCATTTTACAGTTACATAATGGAACAATACTATAAGAAACAATGCTTAAATCCTCCTTCAAACATTTCAGGTTGATTAATTATGGAAGACATTACTATATAAAAAGATTTAGTTGTTGCCATTTTTCTTTAACCTTGCACTCTTTTAAGTTCGCCCCTCCCCCGAGAAATCCTGACTTAGCCACTATTCATAATAGAATGTAGGAGAAAAAGTTGCGTGATTTTGAGAATTTGATTATTGGTTCGTAGATATGGGTTTATAGATAAATTTTAATTTTAGTTTTAATTGCATCTTGTCCTAACAGTAATTGTATAATAGGATAAAGAAGACAATTTATATTTAAAAATTAAGTTGGGCGTGGACGAGATTATATGAGTTCAAATAAAAATTTTCAAAATAGAATTGTGTGAATTACCATGGAACTTTTAGTGCTCAATTTATCAAGAGCAGTGTTATGCCCACTCCAATAAGATATTTTTCAGTGTGATAGGAATACGGTCCGATACACCAAAAGTAATAATACAAAGAAAAACTAATGAAAATGGCTTGAAAACTTTGAGTTTTAATGATAAGGACAAAATAAAGAGTAAAATGAATAGTATCATGATTGATTTTTTAGTGTAAAAATGTGGTTTTTCGTTAAAGTGAACAATACCGGGAGCTTTTCGTTAAAGTTCCCATAAAACAATTGGTTGGACATTTGAAGAAATTTTTTCAATCAATTGTATTATGACACTTGGTGAACCGGACTGTGTTTTCAATACACTAACCCTACAACTACATTATATTCTGAATTTGGATCCTCTCCTGAGCAGAAGGTCCGAATCCTGCTGACCAAGGAACACAGACCGTTGGATCAATATCCAATTGCTACAAATAAAGAGACCCTTCTAAAAGTTATAATAATTGTAGCCTTGGTCAGCAGGATTCGGACCCTCTACCCAGAAAGGATCCAAATCCTTATATTCCTACCCTCCGTAACAAGTAAAATAAAAGTCTTTACCACCCACCATTATACTTAAAATAGCCTTATATTCCTACCCTCCATAAAAAGTTAAAAAAAAGTCTTTCCCACCTAACATTATACTTGAAATAGCCCTACATATTTCTTCTTCAATTTTCCTTGCTTTAACAAAAATAACCTGCAACTCCCAAATATCACCATCAGTCCCATCCCCTCAAAATTCCCAGAACAGTCGCACTAGCCCCCTAAACCCCAGCCAAGCCTCCACCAACCACCCCAAATACTCAGCCCAACCGCATCACCACCCCCAAAACCCCATCTCAATGTACCAACACCCACAAAACCACATCGAACTAACATCCAGCGCCTCGCCTCGGTCGCCAACCATCGCAGCACCACCACGTCCACAAAATAGATCCCGGACAACGCAGTTAAGGGTTTAGGTCTGCATGTATATAATTGGGTCTCAATTTTCAATTGGAAAAAATGAGCAACCACCACCATTCATTTGGGCATAAGATTAAAATTAGCATATGCCCACACACTAACATTTTTTTAAAGTTTTCAGAATGGGAAGGAGAGAGGGAGAGAGAGAAAGAGCATGAAATTTTTAATACCAAAGATATGCTAGGATCATATATGGCTGAAGCTTTATTAAATATAAAAGTTGATCAATGCTAAATTAAATTAAGGCCCATGATTTTATTTTTATGATACAAAATTATATTGTCTTTTCACATTTTTTTAGTTCACAAACAGACTTGCGTTAATACATAGTTTAGATGATCTTGGCAACGAACAACTAAAAGTCAAGCCCCATGGAACATAATTTTGAAAAAAAAATCGCATAAATTAAGGAGACATTAAAAGGTTCTTGAAATAGAAAAAGGTTACGACGACTCGTATTTTATTTTAATGAGTACAAAATTTGTTTACTAACGATAATAAATAGAATGGTAAGCATCACTATCTAATTTAATTATGAGCAAAAATGTAGTGCGCATCACCGTCACTTTAGCGGTCAGGAGCAAAAATATTTCCATGAAATGCTACGTGAAGGCTCATATCATGGACGAAAAAGGAGGAATCAGATAGCTGCAAAAGCACAGTACACAATCACATAGATGTTCCGTATCCATAATCCATCCATATCCAAAACCACCACCAAATGACTACGACAAACACTCCTTCTTTATCCACGCGCTCTCACAGCGTGTGCTCTACTCCACTACTGTCTTAACCCCGCCACATAGCAGTAACTCCTCCCTCCGATCCTCCTCTCTTTCCCTCCCTCCTCCTCTCGCTCGTTCCCTCCCTCCGAAGCAAGAGCGGGCCACCGGCAAGCGCGTTGGGGAAATCCCACCGCCATGGCCACCACCATCAACGACCTGCCGGAGGTCATACTATCCGCCATCATCACCTTAGTTTCCGACACCCGGACCCGGAACTCGCTCTCCCTCGTGTGCAAGAAGTTCCGGAGCATGGAGAGGGCCACGCGCGCTTCTCTCACGCTCCGGGGCAACGCGCGCGACCTCCACCGGATCCCGATTTGCTTCACAGCGGTGGACCAGCTCGACCTATCACTCTTATCCCCGTGGGGCCACGCACTGCTCTCCCCCTCCGCCGCCACCACCGACCCTCTCCTCCTCGCCCAGTGCCTCCGTGAAGCCTTCCCATCCGTCACCTCACTCACTGTCTACTCCCGATCTCCCTACACCGTCCAGAACGTCTCCCGTCTGTGGCCGGGATTGCGCCGGGTCAAGCTCGTCCGCTGGCATCAACGGCCCCATTCGCCCCCCGGCGCCGACTTCGTTCCTCTGTTCTCGGAGTGTCAATCCCTCTTGGAGCTCGACTTGTCGGAATTCTACTACTGGACGGAGGACCTCCCGCCGGTTCTGGAAGCCCATCCCAGCGTGGCTCGATCTCTCACCAAGCTCAATCTCTTGACGACGTCGTTTACCGAGGGTTTCAAGGCCAACGAGATCAAATCCATCACGGCGGCGTGTCCCAAACTGCAGCATCTCCTGGTGGCGTGTATGTTCGATCCGAGATACATAGGCTTCGTCGGCGAGGAGGCTCTTTTATCGATCTCCGCCAACTGTCCGGAGCTCAGAGTCCTTCATTTGGTCGATACGACGTCGCTGGCCAACGCCCGCGGCGACCCAAACGACAATGGGTTCACCGCCGAAGACGCGCGGGTCGGGCGCGCGGCGTTAGTACGACTTCTTCTCGGGGCTTCCGCTGCTGGAAGAGTTGGTGCTGGATGTGTGTAACAACGTGAGAGACAGTGGGTTGGCGCTGGAAGTGCTCGGGTCCAAGTGCCCCAGGCTGAGATTGCTCAAGCTGGGCCAGTTCCATGGGATTTGCTCAGCTATTGGGTCCGAGCTCGACGGCATTGCGTTGTGTGCAGGGCTAGAGTCGCTGTCGATTAAGAACTCGGCCGATTTGACGGACATGGGGCTGATTGAGATTGCGAGAGGGTGTTGTAGATTGGCCAAGTTTGAGGTCATTGGATGTAAGAGAATTACGGTTAAGGGGTTGAGGACGATGGCTTGTTTGTTGAAGAAGACTTTAGTGGATGTTGGGATCTCTTGTTGCAAGAACTTGGATGCCGCCGCATCATTGCGGGCTCTGGAGCCCATTCGTGATCGGATTCAGCGCCTGCACATTGATTGCGTATGGGAACAGGAGGATGCTGATGGCTTTGATGGCATTGATTATGGTGGTGGCATTGGGTTGAATCGCAATGGTGATGATGGCGGTGATTACATGGACTTGAATTGGGCGGCTGAGTACGAAAACAGAAGTAGCAAGAAGTGCAAGTTGGGGATGGATGGGGAGTGTTCCTATATGCCACGAAGCAATGGCCATGGCTATGGTGACTGGTCTTGGTATGATGAGACATGGGAGAGGCTGCATTACCTTTCGCTTTGGGTTGGGGTCGGTGAGCTGCTGACTCCATTGCCGTCGGTGGGTCTCAATGATTGTCCCAATCTGGAGGAGATTCACATTCGGGTTGAAGGGGATTGCAGGGGAAAGCACAGACCCACACAGCGAGAATTCGGGTTGAGCTGCCTCGCAGGCTATCTTCGCCTGTCCAAGATGAAGTTGGATTGTGGTGATACAGTGGGTTATGCACTGACTGCCCCGCCGGGACAGATGGACCTTAGCCTCTGGGAGAGGTTCTTCCTGGCTGGGATTGGAAGTTTGTCCCTCAGTGTACTCGACTACTGGCCCCCGCAAGACCGAGATGTAAACCAGAGGAGTCTCTCACTTCCGGCTGCCGGGTTGCTGTCGGAATGTGACACGTTTCGGAAGCTCTTCATCCACGGCACGGCTCATGAACATTTCATGATGTTCCTTGTGAGAAATAACAACCTCAACTTGAGGGATGTGCAGCTGAGAGAGGACTACTATCCGGCACCCGAAAACGAAATGAGTACGGAGATGAGAGTGGATTCGTGTTGTCGATTCGAAGATGCACTCAACAGGCGCCCAATCCTCGATTGAAAAATAAAACTAATGCGACCTAGTTTATGAAATCGGAGAGGAAGAATGTAAGGAGTTCTGAACTTCTTGTTCATGCCTCACTCTTATCGTTTTCAATTTTCCATCGAATAATATCTTGTCATCCTTTTGCCAAACTGTTTACTAACATGAACAAAGTTTTTGCACACGTGTCATAATGTAATTAGTCTTTAAGAAGGAACAACTGCTTGCTAATCCGTCGTCTGCAAGAAGGACTGACCCTTAACATGTAAGTAGTCGAAAGTATTTTCGGAAGTCGGAAGTCGAATAAAAAAGCTGAGTTGCAGCAAAACATCGGAGGATGCAAAATTAAAAGCACAAAAAAGGATGAGAAATTGACAACAGCATACACCTTAAAGCCGAGAATACAAAGTGAAAACCTCTACCATGTTTTCTATACACAAGAAACAAGATTGTATCAGCAAAGTGAGTATTCGCAGTCTAACAACCGGGAGAGTATGTCCTCGCAGCTCGGTCGATCCTGCGGTTCCGTCCAACAATCTGTACAAAAATGCAATGTGTCAGATCGGAAGCCCGATTATGCACGAAAAATGTATAAAGCTCTGGACATTTTTTTCATTAAGGTTAAGCAATTGATTACCCGAAATAAGCCTGCCTAGCGGACCATCAGGGATCTCCAGTCGGGAACCTTCATTCGCAACAGCGTAAACTACCTGAATAGAAGAAAGCTAAAGTTCACCCCAAAAGTTTCTAGCTTTCTCAAAATGCTAGATGGTTGGATTATACTAGCTACATGTCCGGAACAAGAACGAAAATAGTATATCTTACTGACCCTCTCTGGTGGAACGCCTTCCCACGGTCTATTTAGAGTGCAGAGCTCCCACATTAACACCCCAAGGCTGAAAATATCACATTTTTCGGTGAAGGGTTCATTTCGAATAAGCTCAGGTGCCATCCATTCCGGAGTTCCTGCAGACGACGAGTCCTTCATGTTTGTCTCAGACATTATTCTTGAGAGTCCAAAGTCACAGAGCTTGACAGTCCAGTGCTTATTCACGAGACAATTTGCACTTTTTAGATCACGATGAACTATCTTCATCCGGTGCATGCACATCAACCCCCTTCAGTTGCAAACAAAAGATTCCAGTCACTACTTATCAATACTAAAACATAAAATTAAGCAAATTTATCTGATTCTTTTACTTGAATGTATAGGCGGCGCTGAGGCGTTTGGATAATGATAATGATCCTATATACAGATTAAGTTACATTACACGGAACTCTCACGAAACGCCAAATTCTGAGTTCATTCTATTACGACCTTGAATTATACCTAGCTTACAGAATCTTCTATCTTACACATACTAAGAAGTCATGCAAACTGAGATGACATAAGATCAAATTGGTTTTGTATTGCAGTGTTAAACGTTTGGAGACAAACATAAGGAATTTCAAACCTCCAAAAAACAAAGTACAGAAACATTTCAAGCATTTGCCAACATATAGGACCTAACCGCCTTAATCAGAACGATAACATGTCGATAGTCTTGTCAGACTGTCTACGATACTGTCAGTTTCAGAGCTAAAGAAGTTCATCTATTAGCAGCTGGTAATTCTAAATTTACGAACCAAAAGCCATAGATGGTGGAAACACATGTCAGTTCTCTTTAGGGTTCAAATAAATATAAAGAAGAACATGAACCAACAAATTTATGTCCTATCAAAAAACGTGGAGTGAAAAATATTTCATAGATCATGGATGGAGTGAACAGACCTGCATATGTCACGCAACATCCTTAGTCTTTTTCGCCAGCTAAGCTTCTTCTTCTGGCCACTCAAATGAATCAAATAATACAAAGATCCCATCTCCATGTATTCTGTAACCATTGATAAGCGTGGAGGCTTTGTGCATGCACCCAAAAATAGAATAACTGCAGAAAACATCACGGTAAATTCCACAGCAGTATAAAATAAAGAAAATGTGTACTATCTACTATATCTCCAACGTATAAAACCATAGACAAAGGAAAAATGGAAAGTATAATCAGAACAGAAAGTACCATTAGGATGCCGAAGACGACTGGATACCCACGTGCAAAAGAAATGTAGAACACATTAGAAAAATATAGGATAAAAAAGTAAAACCTGCAGCAGAAAGAAAATAAAAACAATACAATAATCAAGGTATCTGTGAGAAATACCTAAGAATGGATATCTCATTGCAGAAGTCTTCCATGTTTTCAGCAGTTAGGTCTTGCTCTAAGAAAACCTTTATTGCAACATCTGTTCCATTCCAAACACCTCGAAAGACTTCTCCAAAGAACCCTAAATGTAGAAGCAACCGAAAAAGCTCAATCAATTAGAACTGTATTTTTAATTTTTCAGAATGGAAAACTTAGATGCTTTTCCAAGGAAAGAGGAGCTTCACAGCCTGAAATTCAGAAGCTTTCTCAGGGACTTGCCAGGGTTTTAAGGAGCATACTTTTCTACAGAAGGACCAAAATCCAATTACGTTTTGGTAAACAATTGGGAAAATGGGTATTTCATCCCCCTATGTCTTTTTTATCTAATGATGACTCGATGATTTGTAATAGTAAAAAGAATTCTTTGATATTGAAAAAAAAAAAATAGAAACAATATTGCTGACAAACACGAATTTCTTTCACAACAAACTCATATTTCTTTGCTAGCCCATTGTGAGGCTTTAGCACACTTCCTCCACCCCTAATGTAGAAAATATCGTTTGTTCAAAAAAAAAAAACTCAAAATTTTCACCTCAGGAAATAGATGGGGTTCTCACTTATCAAGCCCACAGCAGAGTGAAGTACTGTATGTTACACAAGTGATACTTACCTATTCCAACACGAGTTCCAACAGTCAATTCTGAGTAATCAATATTCCATTCCTGGTAAGGCAATAGAGGCTTATTATCAAATGTGGCAGATTCAAGAATTCTGTTCCATGTTAAGACCAATTCATCATTTGTCGCAAACTCTGAAGGTCCTATTCTAGCAGATGTTTGACTCCTATACTGATGTGGAGATGAAGGTAATGAAATTGCTTTTTGAGAACTGATTTGGTCCTGGTGAAGCAAACATAAAGCAATCTTCAATCAGAAAATTCACGACAATCATCTAAAGAAAAATTTAAAGCCCAAAACAACATTAATTGCTTCATTATAAATTCTTGAAAACTTTAAAGCCCAAAACTAGCAATATTCTTAAATCTTAGAGTATAATGATAATTAAAATATGAGCGCTAAAGTTGTTAGTATTTGACACTTGGAAATCATCCACATCTACCCAATATGCAAGGTACACATGAGAAACAAGACCAATGATAATGGAAATTTTAGAGTCAAAATTAGAATTTCTTAAGAAAATGGAATTTAATTAACTTGTGTTGCCTATCGAATGCATCTCTTTCATTCACCTAGGAGTGGGAGAGTAGTCAAGAAAAGTTGTTTGTTAGATATTTCTTATTTAGAGTTACAGTCCACTTCATATTCTTTTATGGATTATATTCATTATTATTATTTATTTTAATCCCATCACCAACATTACATTGACTTTAAGGTTACCCACCAGTTGTAAACTAAAAATCACGTTCCCTTGTAAGATTGATTAGGAATGTGTAAGTTTTGTTACCTTTAGGCTTTACATACATTACTATATGAAGTAACAGGTAGATTCAATGTAGGGCGATCAGCAAGACTAGAGAACTAATCAGAAAAGGGGTTATTTACAACATTATGGAATAAAGATACAGGAGTAGCTGTACATTGGATGTGGAAGCAATGCAAAGAGTTCACGAGGAGGTTATAAATGGGTAGAGGAGATCACAATGCAAGTCATTGCAACTGGATTGTTAGATGTAAGAACAAGGTCAGTCCAAAATTTCATGCACCTGATGACTGGGAAACAAGACTTCATTCTAATATGTATATATAAGCACAGACACACATTAATACGTTAATCTATACAATTCCATATTGCAGGGTTTAAGAATTTACTATACATCCAGAATTTTAAACTACTAGCAAAGATGTTACACCAAAATAACAAGCATATATAAATCCACCGGCCAGGTGATCAGACTCAAAGCCCAAAATAATGAAACTAAGTAAACACTCAAAATCAAAAAACAAACAAAAAGTGCAGTCATCCAGTTGACTATCCTACCTTCAGAACACAACCATTAAACCATTGATTTCCAATAGACAACATATTTTCTGTTACTGCAATGAAGAAACGTACATTTTTCTGAAGACCGGATCTGTCATCATCACCTTGCTCTCTCAAAAGACGATTCTGCTTCAATGTTTCATTCATTGCTCGTACAGCCCTATATAATTCATTAGATTCATAGTTTATTAATTGTATAAACATCCAAAATAAGATAAAATAACATTCTCTTTATGGTCCATCCGATTTGGACATAATTCTCAAGTTAGAATTATGGGTGCCTCCACATGAACAATATACTAGATGCCAAATATTCACATGAAACAAATTTTTATAACCTGGCCAGAGATAATATTTACAAGGAACTTGGGTTAAGAACAAAAACTGGCCACTAACTTCTCCAAATTAGTTACACAGAACTAAGTGTACTAATTTTATTTGATCATTCAAGCAAAAAATTTCTCTCACATCACTTAAAGATTTTCTAAATAACCTGCAGAGTAAACTTTTTTTATTGACAGGAAATGAGGATATTGAAGAAAGTGAGAAATCAGGTATAAAGCATGATGGGAGTTACTACAAGCAACGTCACACTAAACCTTACCAACCAGAGCAAAACAAGAACCACTTAACACAAAAACATTAGACCAGCCAAGATAGATCACACTAGGTATATGTGAAACAAGAAAACTAATTTTCATGATAAAAGAAAACAAAAAGTAGACATGATTGCAGTGATTTGCTACTGTATCAGCTCCAGGTACTGTACAATGTTAGTCATCATTTCTGTGATGCTGGAACTCAAAAATAACGTGTTAACGAGGCAATTGTCCACAATCCACACAACATCATTTGCCTGATGGCGATTTCTCATGGCTCCTCACATTAGGAAGCACCTCAGAGTGCCAGAGCTCTAAAAATATAATGTTTTATTGACCTATTGCCATTTAATTGAATCATGGGTCCTCTGT